ATATATATATATATATATATATATATATGTCTTCAGAGAGTATAATAGTAGTGCTCAGTGCGATTCGACGCGCTGACTGCCCGCGAAGAGAAAAAACATTTCATAAATATTTCAAAAACACAACGCCACGCAACGAAGGGGACGATTTTCCTAACACACAGCCAACAATAAATGCAACATTCAAGGGGAAATCATTCGACTAGGTGATACAGGCGTCGATCTCAAGACTCGAGCCTTTCGCTTAACACTTTCAGGCTGTTGCTGCACGAGCGTTAAAAATTCCACGCGTTGGAAATCAACAAAATTGCATTGCCGTTAGATTCCTAAAATTCCGAAGCAGTCAACGCGTTGACAAACGTTCTTTTTTTTTTTTCGAGAAATCAGAAGTCGAGCACGTCCCTTCCTCTCTCTCTCCCCTCCAGAGTTCTCTCGTCAACGCGACGCGAGAGAACCTTCAGGTTGAAATAAATAACCAGATTACGCTTGTTTACCATTCCACCAAAAAATTCACTCTTTCTCTCTTACGCGAGTTTCACTGCTGGTCTCTCTCTCTCTCTCTCTCTCTCTCTCTCTCAAGACGCCTACGCTTCGCAGTATTAGCAATTGAAGCCTAATCGAGACTTTCTCCTTCGGGCGGAGAAATAAATTTTGAAAGCAGGCTATGCTTCGTTTCAACAATTAACAACTGGCGATTAGACAGAATGAGGATTATTTTTCTCTGGTGCTGAATCTTTCTCAAATTATTTATCCGTTTCGTGCCCGATAATTGTGAATGTAATTCCATGCCTCCGTCTCTTCTTCTCGAACGCGAGAAACTAACGCAAGAAATCCTTCGAATCCAATGCCAGCGAAACAGAGAAACGTTGAGAAGCTTATCCAGGGCGCGCAATGAAACTCTAATGCGTCTTGGGTACGTGTTGGTGTCGATCGTCATCGCTGGCCTCTGCATCACCCTCCACGCCTTTCTCACCCTCCTCCGGATGCGTTGTATTTCCCTCCTCGGTGTCGACGCTGCTCGTCGGCGTGATCTGTGCCGGGCCAGTCGAGTTCGCTGTGGCCCCTTCGTTGCTCTTTTCGAGTCCCAGGCCGCCAAGCAGGCTCTTGTTAATCGGTTCCGGCGAGGCTTCCGACTCCTCGCTGCTAGGTGAACCGGGAGACGAGACTATCACCTGTACGAACAGAAAACGCCCGTCCCAACACCAACGTCATTTCCCATTAATCACACGGCCTTTCTATTTCTCTGCTTGCATGTGTACACGTGTGTGTGTTTGTGTAACGTTAACCGTAACAGGCTAACTAAGGTGTAAAGGTTGTTGTTGTTGTTGTTGCAAGTGTTTGCACAAACTTGAGAATTAGAAGATAGAGAGTGAAGAAGAGAGTTATGTGCAGATAGTCGTAGACAAATGTGAATTTCATATCATTTGTTGAATGCTTGCGTTGCAGAAGCTTAAATCGAAACACAGTGACAATGTTCTTAATGTGTGGAAGTTGTGCTCGTGTACACACGCCCATCTATTATTATAGAATGAGGCATCTGTAAGTTTCAGTCGTGTGCAAAAGAACTGAAAGTGAATTTAGATGCTTCATCTTGGTCACTATATTCTATGGTGTTGGATATCGACAGGATTTCCATTGGACAGGAATACATGTTTGAGGAACTTTGCTCTTGATTCCAGTTTGAATTATTTTGCAAACGAGGGAACAGATACTCTGAATGCAATCAGAATTGATTACATTAGCAAACGTGGTGGTCAGACCGGATTCAAGAAGTGCAATTGACGCATGCTAGGAGCACTAACGGATCCCTCAGACTATCAGTGGTTAAAAAATTATCAGGGATCAAGTGGTTGGTCAAGGCCCTAAGAGGGATCTCACTTTTCCTACAACCTCACTCCTCCCTG